CAGTACACATAACAGTACACGTATCCGTATTAGTGTATGCAACATTCGCATGACAACTAAGCGTACAACAATCAGCAACAGCACGCGTAACAGTAGCAGTATAAATAAACATATGAGTAAGCGTATACGTAACAGTATCAGTACACGTAGGTAGCAGGAAGAGAACAGGAGTACATACATGGGAGATTAACAATAAAAGCATCACTCGCAGTAACAGCACAAGTGACGGTAGTAGTAGCAAACATACCCTACAAGTGAGATTGCGCATGCAAGCGCTGTTGCCAGTATCGGTAGTAGTAAACGTACACATGAAAGTACACGTACACGTAAACGTATCAATCACAGTAACAGTAACAGAGAGCGTGAACGTAAAAACAAACGTCGCATTGGAAATCGCAGTAATAGCAAACGTAAACACACAAGTAACAGTAACCGCAACTGTACCGGTAAAAGTAACATTAAACACCCCTAGAAGAAACGGGGCGAGTAACATTAGAAGTAGTAGTAGTAGTAGTAGTAGTAGTAGTAGTAGTAGTAGTAGTGGTCGTAGTAGTAGTAGTTGTAGTAGTAAGCGTAGTAGCAGCAGTAGTTGTAATAATAGTGCCGGTCGTAGTCGTAGTAGTTGTAGAAGTAGTAGTAGTAGTAGTAGTAGTAGTAGTAGTAGTAGAAGTAGTAGTAGTAGTGGTAGTAGTAGTAGTAGTAGTAGTAATAGGAGTAGTAGTAATTGGAGTAGTAGTAGCAGTAGTAGTAGTAGTAGGAGTAGTAGGAGTAGGGGTAGTAGTAGGAGTAGTAGGAGTAGTAGGAGTAGTAGGAGTAGTAGTAGGGGTAGTAGGAGTAGGAGTAGTAGTAGGAGTAGTAGCAGTAGTAGTCGTATTATTATTATTAGTAGTAGTAGTAGTACAAGTAATAGTAGCAGTAGTAGTAATAGTAGTAGTAGTAGTAGTAGTAATAGTAGTGTGAGTAGTAGTAGTAGTAGTAGTAGTAGTAGTAGTAGTCGTAGTAGTAGTAGTAGTAGTAGTAGTAGTAGGCATACTCATATGATTATACGTAGACATATGACCAGAAGGAAAACACTGTGTAATTACATTGACATAGGCATACATTTCTAGATATATGTAAACATAGAATTGAAATAGTAGTAGTCGCAGTAGTAGTAGTAGTAGTAGTAGTAGTCGAAGTAGTAGTAGTCGTCGTCGTATTAGTAGTAGCAGTAGTGGTAGTAATAGTAGTAGAAGTAGTAGTAGTCGTGGTAGTAGTCGTAGTAATAGTAGTAACACTCGCAGTAGTCGTAGTGGTAGTCGTAGTAGTAGTGGTAGTAGTCGTAGTAGTAGTAGTAGTACTAGTAGTAGTAGTAGTAGTAGTAGTAGTAGTAGTAGTAGTAGTAGTCGTAGTAGTACTAGTACTAGTAGACGTAGTAGCCATAGCAGTAGTAGTAGTATTAGTAAGTATTAGTAGTAGTCGCTAATTATAGTCGTAGTAGTGGGAGTTGTAAGTTAGTAGTAGGAAATTCGTCGTAGTAGTAGTAGTAGTAGTAGTAGTAGTAGTAGTAGTACTAGTAGAACTAGAAGTAGTAGTAGTAGTAGTAGTAGTAGTAGTAGTAGTAGTAGTAGTAGTAGTAGTAGTAGACGTTGAAGTAAAAGTATATGCAGTAGTAGTAGTAGTAGTAGTAGTAGTAGTAGTAGTAGTAGTAGTGGTAGGAGCAATTGTATTTTTCGTAGCTAGCAGTTGTAGTGCTAGCAGCCGCCGCCGTAGTAGTAGTAGTAGTAGTAGTAGTAGTAGTAGTAGTAGAAGTAGAAGTAGTAGTAGTAGTAGTAGTAGTGGTAGTAGCAGGAGTAGTAGTAGTAGTAGTAGTAGTAGTAGTGGTGGTTGTAGTAGTAGTAGTAGTAGTAGTAGTAGTAGTAGTAGTAGTAGGAGTCGTTGTAGTAGTAGTACCAGTAGTCGTAGTAGTAGTAGTAG